GGAAGTTGAAGTGACAATGGGAAATCATGTAAGAAGCAAGTCACTATGAAACTGATTGAAATTTCCGCACTTCGAGCAATGTCACTGTACTGCGGGACTATGGGAACCAACAACGAGTTCGTCAAGAACAAGTGGCTTAATGTTGTAAAGTATGTGATGGAACTGTATATCCAAGACGAGAGTGTCCAGAACGTCGGGTTGAACATCTTGATCAAGTTAGTGAGTGATACAACAAGTTGGCGTGCATTTGAAGAGGCCAAGATCGTTGACTATCTCATGAACGTTCTCGAAAAGAACAAAAAGTGTCCTAACGTCATTACATTAACATTGCAGGTGTTACACGAAACACTTAAAATTGGCAGTAAAGAGTTGATTGTGAAATCGTTTAATTTGATCAAAGAAATCAGCAAGCAGTATGAAAAAGAAGGTGTGATATGTGGAGGGTGTTTGTATATCGTTGGGTTCATTTTCAAATTCCGTGAAAGTCGTTTATACAAGACGAAAGAGAACATCAAATGGTTTTTAGAAATAGGTATGAAGTACATAATGATAGAAATTGTGCAAGATGCCGTCCTCAATATAATGGAAACGCTTCTTAAAGAAGAAAAACTTGGAGACGACAACAAAGTCCTCTTTGCTGTTCTTGTATCATCACTCTTTTCCCAAGTCGAAAGAGAAGAAGAGAAAAGGCGGGTGTTACAGATTATTACATGGTTGTTACAAGAAAGGGTCGACAACGAGTTATTGGGGTTTGATATGTTCAATAAAATTTACACGCAAATGATCACCATCAAAGAAGAAACTGTCATTGAAATGTCTTTGGAGTGCATTGATGTGTATTACTCCCTTAACAAAGAGTTTTTCTTGTCGGAGAATTTTTGTGGTAAAATCGAGGAATGGATGGACGGAGTCGTCACAATTACCAACAAACACCCCACTCCAGGAATGACTTCCCATGCCATTTCTTTGCTCAAAAGTTATATTGAGGAGACCAGAAAGATCGAACATTTTGAGAATCAAGCGTGGTGTGGGTTACTTTATACTTCAATAATGAAAAATCCAAACAACATCGAAACCATCAAAAATAGTTTAGAGTTGCGACTGTTGTTAAACATCGACCAAACAATATTCACAAACACTCAAATTATTGATATAATTCCCTTAATAAACACGGTAGTTTCAAATACAACAGACTCGAAGTTTAAAGAGGACGTGTTGAGTTGTGGGGTGTTGTTTTTGAGTCCTTTTTTTGAAAACAGTTTTAGTATTGCGTTTTTGATGAGAGAAATAGGGTTTGTACAAAACTGTCTTTCACAGACCAATCAAGATATTTTGACACAATTCAAATTATCAATGTTTAACGCATTGTTCACAGCGAGAATATTATCAAACAGTTATCCAGTCTTTGACATATTTTCATTAAGTCTGTGGGACATAAACTCGACAGTCCAAAGTGCACAGAACGTCCAACAAATCATGCGAAAGAGTATGAGTATATCAATGTTAAGCTCATCACTCAAACAAATTCCTTCGGCCAAAACCATTTTTCTTGAAATAATTGCGTTGTTAGTGTTGAACGCCAAGAATTACGAAGCCTTCCAAAACAATGTCTATTTCATCAACCAATGTTTGACGTCTAAAACATCTTCTGTTGACGAGAAACGGAACGCGATGATGATATATGCAATGGTATGTTTCGATGTAATTAAAAAAGAAGAAAATAACACTAAAATGGGTGTTAACGCTATTTTGGCGTTAATGGGAGAAAAAAATTTCCCAGAAGATTGTATATTTATTGGACTGTGTGCGATATACAACATTTCTGGTTTTTCTTTGTTCAAACCAATTTTAATGGAAACAAAAAATAAAGTACTTCTTGGTGCTCTTATGGAAAAGTATTTGGAGTGTAAAACAATTGTCACAGACATCACAAAAAGATCAAAAGAGGCCAAAAATTGTAATGGATTTATTGTCTAATTTTTTTTGCTTAAATATGGTCGATATTATTATTTTTTCTAAAAGACAATCGACTTTTTATAGTGTCTTATTTATTATGAATTTAACCAGTTAACAGTTTTTTTTGGGCTAAAAGCTCAAGACATACAGAAAACTGAATAATCACTTGACAAAGAAAAAAGGGATGACAAAAATCTATTTTTAAAATTCAGAGTAATTTTTATTGGGGTTTGAGAACCATCATTAGGGGATTTTGATTACATTTCTCGTATGAAATAATTCAGTTTTTTACCATAAATTTGGTTTTGCTATAAGTAGGAATGCGAGTAATAATTATAACGGTAATGCTTGACCTTATAAACATGAAAATTATTTGGAAAAAAGCATAAAAAGAATTATTATCCGATAAAAACGGTTGTTTTATACTCTCTTTTTAGACATGATATTGACAAAGCTTGAAGATATCATGTCTCTTCAGTTCATAACCGAATAATTGGAATTTAAAACGTGTTCAAAACTCCCCAAAAATTGGAGTGAAAAAACACGCCAAGATGGAGAGGAAAATTATGAAAATCACAGAAGAAATAAAACCAAAGCAACAAAGAAGTCACAATTTACCGAAAAGGCTGTTTAGAATACCTTTAATGTTTTTTTTGTGTTTTGTCGAAGATTCATTATTCTTTAAATTGGCGTCAATAAAAGAGTATTTTGAGATAATTGTGTCCACTTTATAAAGTGAAAACTTTGTGACATTCGAACCCTTGATGTGCTTTTCGAACTACATCTTGGAGTCTTGTTGAAAAGGTTAATGCATTTTCCATCATGTTTTCATCATGGCAATAACCAGAAAGCTCTCTGCTCCGCCCAATAGAATGGCGACAGTTTCCATATCTGATTTGGAAAGGAAGAGAAAAAAGTGTTTTTCTTCCCTTGAAACTTCGGTGTTGGTCAGTCAGATCAACCAATCAGTATAACAAATCGAGTTTCGGGAAACTTAGGACAACCAATTTCTATTCTGAAACCTCGGTTACCCATATTTGTGAGAACTTCCATGTAAACCATATGCCAAAAGTCTGTACTTTACCAATTAATAGTGGAAACCCTTAATAATAAATCCCGTTTTTTAAAGTTTTTTGTTGTTTTCATTTATTATTTCCGTTTGGAAAAAAACAGTATCGACTTTTTAACCCTCAAAACCAATACAGTTATAAAATTCAATTAAAAATTCGAGATTTCAACGAAAATTTAGAACAAACTTGGACGATTTCCTAGGACTGTTATTCAGTCGTATTTACTGTTGATTTTTCAAAAAATCGGCATTTTTGCCTTTTGGTAATGGACGAGTAGTTTGAATGGGTGAGATAACCGTATTTTACCTCTCACATTACGACTCTCCACGACTCAAAATACGCGATGACATTGTTTTAACTTGTTGATATTTTATCGTTGTCTCTTTTTTTTAAAAACAAAATTTGAAACACCACACATATTAAATGGTTGTGTTTATTTCATTGTTTTTTCTTTGTGCTGTAAGTGTTAATGAAATTGAAAGATTTTTAATATTTTTCGAAACATTGACATTTTCTTTTGAAAAATGAAAATTCGGTTTTACTCACGGAAAAAACAACCACATGGGCAAGAAAAATTTTGAAGAAGTAAGTAATTTGATATTTTCTTTGTTATTTTTTCTTTGATTTTTTAGCTTGGTCTAAATTCAAGGTTTAGTCAAGTTTGTTTTTTGAAAAATAAGAGGGAAAAAATAAGCAAAAAACGATGTCAAACAAAATGTATTTTATTTGGAATCATTTACTTCAAAAAATCGGGCCCTTTCGGTATCGACTTTTGAAAAAGAGTTTATTATACCATGGAAGATCACCAAATCTGTGGAACTCCTGTTGACGCGCTTCAAAGGAGTCTCGATCCTTTCACACTCACAATTGGTGAATTGGAGTAGATACAGAACTGAATTATTCAAAAAGACGTTTTTAATCGAGTTCAGTTCCATTTTGGTTTTATAAAATGGAACAGCGTTTTCATAAAAAAAAATAAAACGCTGTTTTTAGTCTTTGTTAATTATTTTTTTAATTATAAAAATAGAAATAATGGTAATGCCCGAAATAATAAACACAAAATAACTAACTAAAAAGTGTTATTTGAGCATTTTGGCCAATCATCTTTTAGTCAATCAATTTATTCTTTGTCAAGAAATTATTCTGCCTTTTGTAAGTCAAAAATATCATTTGTATATTTACGAATTACAATTTAAAATTTGAACAGTAAAACAGTTACAAACAATTGATATAATATTTTTTAATGAACAAAAAAATAATAACATATTTGATCGCTTATAAACAGACCATCGTTAAATTATCAAATGGAAGACTCAAATAATATGTAGGATCATTATGTTTTTGTGTCAATGACCATCATACAAACTAGTATGATGGTCAACCCGTTTTCAACGAATTCTTTTTATACAAAAAGTATAATGCATGTGAATTTGATCCAAAACAGGGAAGCAAACAAGAAGAAAAAAGAATGTTAGAAAGGATGATGATGATAAAGGTGTTTTTAAATTTGTTTGTGTGTGTTGTAACTACAACTTTTGCTGTGGTGAAGGTTTGACAACAACAAATATGTTAAACCATCTGATTGATCAACAACATGACCAACACAGAATAGTGAGTGTCGCAAAAAACGAGGTAAATACAAAACAAGAATCATAGACTCAATATATAACCCACTTTAATTTTGATGAACTTTTGGCGTTAATGGCTTGTTGTCCTGGGATTAGTCTATTATTTTTCAACAATTAACCACATGTCTAATTCTAAAATTACTTGAACTAAATTACATCCCTCCAAGTATACAAACACTTACCACCAGAATTGGATATTTGAACCAAGAGTACAAAATCGTTTTATACGGAGAAATACAAAAGGCTGAAAGTGGTATATGTTGTACAATGTATGGCTGGATAACCAAACAATCAAAAGATTTTTACAACTTTACTTTTTATTACACATTCCAGTCAAAAATGAAATATTAAGTATAGGAGCTTTCGGAGTGTGTATAAGAACAAATTGTTGATAACATTGAACTGTTCATTGATGGTGTTGTTGAATATTAGAACTTGGACAAGTTTGGGGAATTCCCAATAGTATCCGATAAAGCAACAAATATTATTAAAGGTGTAAAACAATCAGGACATAAATCCATAGGTTGTGCTTGTCACTGATTGAATTTCACACTCAAATGTGCAATAACAACAAATGAAATTATATTAAATTTGTTGTTGAAGGCAAAAATAATTGATAAAAAGGCTAAAAGAGTTCAACAATATCTCTACTCATTACATAAGGAGCACCCAAAATCGATGTCAAACAGTTTATAACAGACATCAAAATTCATTGGTTTTCAAAAAATGGAACAATACAAATTTTGCTATTGCAATTACAAACAATAAACACTATAATATAATTCTTGTGGCCATTAAAAACATTTAAAAAACAACACATATTCAAACAATGTTATACACTCAACCCAACAGAATTGAATCTTCTTGAGTACATCATGAATATTATGACAATAGTTGAAATATCAAGTGACTGTTTATCATCTGAATCCGGTCCAACACTCTCCTATTTGTTTGCTGAAGTTACAAAATTAGAAAGAGAGATTTCAAAGGAATGTCTTAAAATTGGGAATATACCAGATTAAAAACGTGAATGTGCAATTTCTGTTACCATCAGATTAACAATAGTGTCACCCGAGAACGCTTTAAAGTTATCAACGGAAGAAATTATAAATATTGTAATAACTGAAATTGTGATTTCAAGTGACTTGAATATGATTAAACACAATTTAGTTGATGACACATCAAATTCAATAAAAAGGTATTTTTAAAATGAAATACAACATCAAAAAGGATGAATTGGTGTGCTTTAGGGATACCTTAATCTGGGCTAGAAAAATAAAAAAATTTGGAAATTGAAGATCATA